CCAAAGTATTTTTGGATTATTTTATTAATTTTTTTTAATCCTTTCTCGCACATTTGAAATTTTGGTTCAAAATCTTGTTTTTCTTGTAGCAAATATCAGCATGAGGAAATTTAGCACCGTTTTTCTGGTAAAAAATACATTGCTTTGGAAATTCTTGCAAAAATTACATAATTGTTGGGTTTTAATGAAACTTTCAGGACTTATTCTCAAATAAATGAAATTTTTAAAAATTTTGGTAGAAGTTTTTTTTTTTTTCATCTGTTACTTAATGAAATTTTGAGAAATTAAATTTTATTCCACTTCATATTTATATTAGTTAAAAGCAGAACTCCTTGGAGAATGTAAATCATTATTTTTCTTTCTTGTTTTTTCAAGCCGTAATTCATTTACCAAAAATTTGCTCTGAATTGCAAAATAAAAAATGCAATCAAACTAAGACATTATCTAATTATTAAAGCTTTTAATTGCTTTTATGAATAAAATATATTGTCTTAAGAGAATTTTTTTTTTTTTTTAAAAATTTTCTTTTTTTAATTAGAATAAAATTTATAAAGTAAAATCTATATTTGCTAATCATAAATTGAAAAGCTTAGTACAAATCATCAAACACCAATATTTTTAAAAGAATCCTGAATTTTTTATATGTATAAATGTGCCAATTTTCTATTATATGGTTCCCCATACAAATTATCAGAAATAAAGGTATAACTATAGTAAATTTACAGTCATAAATATTTAAAATTCAATAAAACATTAGATTACAGAGAATATTTCTTAAATTTTTAAGATTACTCAGTACTTAAAAATTATATATAAAAGGTGGTCACAATGCCTAAAGCCCCCTATAGAACAACATTACATAAATACCAATCTGTCAAACCCATGCCTTAAATAAACAGCTACTGTGCATTTTTTGGTTATTTTGAACTTAAAATAAATATTTGTTTCAAATCGTATCAATTATACTTTAAATCTGCTAAACTTTGTTAAATAAACTTTCAGAAAAGTATATTTTATTTGACTGCGGGAAATAAATAAATCATATATTTAAATAAGCTAGTTATTCCAAAGGTAAAAAGCAAAAATTTCTTAAGCTAACTACAACAGCAAACTGAAACCAAATTAAAACTAAAAATTTTCATTCCTAGTGGAACAAGATTTGAGATAGGCTTCCAGTTCAGGACATGAGTTGCACTATGACTTGGCTTTAAGTAAAGAACACCATGTAAGATACACCAATTTAAACTTTTTTTTTTTCTTAAGAAAAACGAAAAGTTTTGGAAGGATAGAATTCTGGAAGTACTAAGAGATAGTAAAAGTGGACAATAAATATTGACATCTTAAAAAGATTAACATAAAAGGAGGGGGTGATGAAACTTATTTTCCTTAGGAAAGTGAACAAATTATTTTTGACTACCCAATTGTGTGTATGAAAAACCACAATTAACTTCAACTTGAAAATAAGATTCACACTGTGAAGTGATCATCAGGCAACTGAATAAAGACACGAGATGTGTTGTTTATCTCTAGACATGCACATAGCATTCGTCAATCAATGGGGAAAAAGCAAAACAAGAATTTTATTTCCATGCTTGTGATCTTTTATTCAATAATTGGCTCTGATCAAGGGAAACAACTGTATTTAATTTCTTTACCAAGCACATATTACATCTTTTTCGCTCCTTTTGATCTTTTTTTTCATTACTCTATTTATTTCCTAAACATTACTTATCAATAGGTGTTATTGAATATATTTTGTGTATATGTGTGTGAATATATATATATATATATATATATATACACACACACACACAATAATAATAATAATGATTGAATATATATATATATATATATATATATATATATATATACATACACACACACACACACACACACACACTACAGTTCAAAAGTTTGAAGCCACCCCCAGAATTAGCATCAGATGAACTTGACAAGAGTAAAAAAAAAAAAAATATTGAAAAGAGCTCTTAGTCATTGAAAAAAGGCTAAAGGGGAATATTTTGACAAGAGCAAAATTTAATCATAAATTTTTTTTTTTTTTTTGTCATAATAAAATTTCTAAGAAAAATCTTTTCTCATTTTTTTTTTTTTTTTTTTTTTTTTTTTTAAACCATGTATAATAATTTTATCTTATTTAAAGTACAAAACAACTACTTTTGGAGCCAATTAAAAAATTACTGGGTTTGACCACCAACTTTTGAACTGTGTTTGTGTGTATATATATATATATATATATATATATATATATATATATATATATGATGGACTCTCCTGTCAAGTTCGATGTATGAGGTTCTGACAACCACGAACTAATTATCTGCATGCCTATGGCAGGCATGACTTTTGAGACCGGCTCGGGAATTGCACAAAAGTCCACAAACAGTACAGGAGAATGTATTGTATACAAGTGCAGCAGGAACACTGTTAGATGTCTTATTTTGTTTACTTGTTTCATGTAGTCAACTGATGGTTACTTCTCAGTGCAGCTATATTTGTTGTTAGCTCCAATGTGACCAGAGCTGTTTTTCTTTCTGGTGCTGAGTTGTTGTCCTGGAGAGTTTGCACATTTTAAGTTCCAAGATGAAGTTGATGTTGTTTCATAGAGTTTTTCGCAGTAGCCAGATATGTGTGGAATTAATTAGATGTAGTTGTCAGAAAACCAACACAATGATTTGCTTAAAGTGATGTAGGCTTGTGTAGGACATATATGATGGTGCAATGGATTTGGCAAAATTGTAGTGGAAAGCAAGAAGAATGGACTCTCTAATCACTGTAGGAACACTGACTACATGGTCATCAGCAAAAAAGAGACAGTCCAAGGTGTGACGTTTGTTTTGGGGATGTCAGTATCAAGCAGGTAAAGAAATTCATCTGAGTAGTGTAGTAAGAGATGATGAAAATGTGACACAGAAATCTGAAGGTGCTTAGATATGAAAGATGCCTTCCAGAAGCTAAATGTACTATTAAAACTATTAAGTTAAGTGTTAAAATGGTATGCAATATCAGTCCTCCTGTATGGCAGTGAATGCTGGATAATTTCCTCACAGATGAAGACATGGCTTGATGTGGATGATGTGGTTCTACTGACAAATTCTAAGAATACCATAGATAAAACACGAGGGCATTGACAGTAAGTTTTAAGGGGGGGAAAAAGACTGACAACAAGGAAGCTTATAATAAACCTTTACCATACTATTTTCACAAGTTGAATTTGAATTTCTTGGTTGTGTAGTTATATCCTTCTATGGCAACACCTAAAACAATCTTGACTGAAATTAAGAGCCAGGTTATTACAATTTCAAATATATAGAACTAATATATAAAACACTATATTTTTGGGGTGGGGGCATATACAGTAAAAAGGGAAGTAATATTTATAAATGATGCTGAGTGCTAAATGTTAAATTCTGAAAGAGATTGAAATTTAAAATATATTCTACAAGACATATTTATGCTAATAATAATCAGAGAAAAATTGAAAACATTAAAACCAGATATTATGGATTATCCTTTTTTTCTTTTTTTCTTCAGTGGTATATTCATTCTCTAGGTGGAAAAAAAAAAGCTTTACGGTATGTATGTATGCATATACAGAGTGTGATGGATAAATTGTCTAAATGATGCAAAACTGAAAATAATACTGACATCTCATTCTAACAGATATTATTACCAAAATTGCACAAAAATATCTTGAAATGCTGAAGAGTGAATTTATTCAATAAAATCACCTTTGGCATCAACCATGCCCTCCAGATAACTTCAGAATCTCCTGCAACTCTTCTGGACTATCTCCTTGTTTAAGTTGGTGAATGCTGCCATAATACTTGCCTTCAGTTCATCTTTGGTGTTACAAGGAGTTTTGTTGATCTCTCATTTAACTGTGGCCCACACATAATAATCTAAAATGGTATAGCATGTCAGGCTATATGACGGTTCCTTGTAGGATATAGGTTTGATTCCTGTTGGAGGACACGTATTTCCTATGAAATTTCTTGGACATTCAGGCCGATAAATGTAATTAATATTACTTATTATAAATGAAGTATTTAGTTAAATAATTGTATATATAAAAATAACATATAGAAAATATGTTAAAATAATTGTCAGACATAGTCCATTTAATAATATATATTTGGGCAGCAAATTTTCTTTCAAATATCTTTTAATTAAATACTGCAGACAAAGAAGATTTAATTAATTTATCAGTTTTTTCCATCCTTGTTTTTTTTTTTTGTAGGATTAAGGAAGTACAAAAATTTTCCATAATTTTCATTGTTGCAAGCGCTTTTGGAAATCAAGTGTTGAAAGTTTTTTTTTAAAAATAAAAAGATGCTCACTTGAATTTCAGTCATGCAACATGTGAAGATTCAAAATAAACGCTCCTATTCTGAACAACATGAAAATAAATTACAACATAACAGTCAAAACATGAGGAAAACACCAATAACACCAGAGACAAAATCACCTTTAAAAATGGCCATAGAAGTGACCGAAAGCATTTGTTTACTTAATGTGGATTACATTTTTCACATTTCTCCCCTATATTGATTATGTTTTAAAAAATCTTTCTGATGATGCCAGATCATTGCTGAAACATGTTACTGTAAGATATTTTCCCAGTTGCCTTGTGTGTGTCTGTGATAGAGGATTTATTTGGTAGCCTAGGTAATTATCTATTTCCTCAACAAGAGATTAGAATTTGCAACCAGGTAACAAGTCAGGATTTGTAATTTAAGGGTGATTTGTTGATGTGAAAGATTATTGTAATACAAATTTTTTTTAATCTTGATTTTTGTCCATGGTCACATTAAATTGAATTTAGAAAATACCGCAATTTTCTAATGATGAGAATAAACTTGATATTATTAACAAAGCAAGTCTATTTTTGATATGTTTATGAAAGTATGATGAGTTCTCTATTTAGTTCATTCAGATTTACAATAGTTGTTCTTTAGAACTTACTTTATCTTATTTATCAGATCTTTTATATATACCATAATATATTATGTTTTTTTTTGAGGGGGGGGTCATTCTTTCGTCTCTCTCTCTCTCTCTCTGTTTTTCATCCTTTCGTCTCTCTCTCTCTCTCTCTGTTTTTCATCCTTTCGTCTCTCTCTCTCTCTCTGTTTTTCACCCTTTCGTCTCTCTCTCTCTGTTTTTCATTCTTTTCGTCTCTCTCATTCTTTCTCTCTCTCTCTCTCTCGGTTTTTCATTCTTTCGTCTCTCTCTCTCTCTCTCTCGGTTTTTCATTCTTTCGTCTCTCTCTCTGTTTTTCATTCTCTCTCTCTCTCGGTTTTTCATTCCTTCGTCTCTCTCTCGGTTTTTCATTCTTTTGTCTCTCTCTCTCTCTCGGTTTTTCATTCTTTTGTCTCTCTCTCTCTCTCGGTTTTTCATTCTTTCGTCTCTCTCTCTCGGTTTTTCATTCTTTTGTCTCTCTCTCTCTCTCGGTTTTTCATTCTTTTTTTTTCATTCTTTCTCTCTCTCTCTTTTTCATTCTTTCGCTCTCTCTCTTTTTCTCTCTCTCTCGGTTTTTTCATTCTTTCTCGGTTTTTCATTCTTTCGTCTCTCTCTCGGTTTTTCATTCTTTTTCTCTCTCTCTCTCTCTCTCTCGGTTTTCATTCTTTCTCGGTTTTTCATTCTCTCTCTCTCTCTCTCGGTTTTTCATTCTTTCGTCTCTCTCTCTCGGTTTTCATTCTTCGTCTCTCTCGGTTTTTCATTCCTTTCATTCATTCCTTCTCTCTCTCTCTCGGTTTTTCATTCATTCTCGGTTTTTCTTCCTCTCTCTCTCTCGGTTTTTCATTCTTTTGTCTCTCTCTCTCTTTTTTTCATTCTTTTGTCTCTCTCTCTCTCTCTCTGTTTTTCATTCTTTCGTCTCTCTCGGTTTTTCATTCATTCGTCTCTCTCTCGGTTTTTCATTCATTCGTCTCTCTCTCGGTTTTTCATTCCTTCGTCTCTCTCTCGGTTTTTCATTCCTTCGTCTCTCTCTCGGTTTTTCATTCCTTCGTCTCTCGGTTTTTCATTCTTTCGTCTCTCTCTTCTCTATTTTTCATTTTTCATTCTCTCGTTTTTCATTCTTTCGTCCTCTGTCTCTCTCTCTCTCTCAATTTTATCATTTTTCATTCCTTCGTCTCTCTCTCTCTCTATCAATTTTTCGTCATTGATTTTTCATTCGTTCCTCTGTCTCTCTCTCTATCAATTTTATCATTCGTTCCTCTGTCTCTCTCTCTATCAATTTTATCATTAGTTCCCCTCCCTCTCTCTCTCTCAATTTTATCATTCTTTCCCCTCCCTCTCTCTCAATTTTATCATTCTTTCCCTTCCCTCTCTCTCAATTTTATCATTCTTTCCCCTCCCTCTCTCTCAATTTTATCATTCTTTCCCCTCTCTATTCATGCTTCTATATGTACTGAATGGCCAACACAATGTACTCTATATATTCAACATCACAGTGATTTAAGATTGTTACTGTAAATTGACATAATTGCAATGGATTTTTTACTTTGAATTTCATCCATTTCTGGTTTTGAGTCAGGAAAGCTATTTAAGTATTCTTATAATGATGTTTTGTTTCTTTCTACCCAAACCTTTCTCTTTCTCTCTGTCCCTTCTCTCTTTGTCCTCTCACTTTCTTTATTTCATTTGTGGAACTTAGGTACAATTTATCTAAGGTAATCAGATCCTTTTTTTTTTTTTAATTTCATTCTTCTATAGTTAAAACATTCTTTTAGACCATGGAGATTCAGGCAGGCAAATAGCTAACAGTCCAGAAAAGAAAATTGGGAAGCAGAATTCAACTTTCAACTGAGATAATTTGTTTTTACTTTACACTAATGCCCTTGGGATAGCTATGAATCCATTTCTTCACTTTGATCAGGAAAGAAGAATTCTGGGTTCAAAACCAGCTGTGAAATCCATTCATATACCCAGCTATGGATAAAAATAGCAAAAACATAAGGAGCAGGATTTGTGATCTCACCTTTTAGAAACCTACTTACTAAAATATGATGGATATTCAAGCTGAAAGATTTTAAATATTCAACCGGATATTAGGCTGGATGTTTAACCTCTTTTATAATCAGAGACTTAAATATTTAACTTACATTTATTGTGGTTGGTAAAATAAATCCACACATTATTACTTTTGCCAGTCCCTCTTTTGTTACCATTTATAAATATTAAAAGAAATTTTTCTGTTGTTCGTAAGGTAACCTTTGGCACTTTGTAATATTTATAAGTATTTCATCCTCATCTATTGGGTATAAAGTGGCCATACAACTGCAGTAGCATCATTTTCAATTTTCAGTTAGTCATTTTCCTGTTGCCATAGTAGGATATGACAACACTAGCACAAAATTCAACCATGCTATTGTCTGATGATCAGAGTTGCATGCAGTGGTTGTACAAATATTTTGATTGACTAATAAAATCACCTACATACAGTGTGCTAAAGGTTAAAAAGTTTGCAGAAATTTCAAAGTGAGTGTTTGGTGATGTCTAACATTAGTTTCAAGGATTATAAATGGTCAGTGCTGTTTGTTTTCAACCAGGAATACATCAGAAGTTGTAAGATGGTGATTGTAAAAGTGTTGTAACCTAGGGAAGTTCATTGAATAGAATAATCAAACAAAGGTTGGTAATGAACAATAATACTTAGGACAAGAACAACACATATAAGATTCCTAGCGGCGCATAGAAGTAATAGTCAACTGCTAGAAGTGAGTCAAGTGAATTCCACAATGACTCTCCAACTGCAGACCAGCATACAGTATTTACTACTGTATTTATGTGAATGGGGACATACCCATTATTGCCTGTAGGTATGTTACAACAAAAAGTTTATTAGTGAATACGAATACTTCTGTGAAATATATCATTTTCTCACCTACCAAGCAGACTACATGACAAGTTTAGTTTAACATCAACTTTTCTAAAAAAATAAATAATGGTAAAAAAAAAAATGAATTTTTATTTCTTTCCTACAGTGTTATGCATCCATCATTCGTGATGAGAATAACTACATCCAACGTCAGAAAGGCTGCACTAATCGTCCAGAAATCCTGACATGCTCACCAAAAATGGAATCCATATTTAATATAGAGTGCTGCAACACAGACTTTTGTAACAGAAACATCACTGTAACATTACATTCTGAAATGAAACAAAGTAAGTATAATTTTATTGACTCATCCAGTCTTTTACATACAGTAATAAAGCATTAAAATCTGTTGTAAGCTGTTAATCAACACTTAAATTTGTCCATTCTTCCTTTTGTTCATGATTGACAGATATCTTTTTCTTGAATTATGTGGTCAGGTCAAGCTTTTCAGGTCAGTTCAGGCTTATGCCTGCTACTGGTAACATGTAACCTAGTTGAATCTGCCACATGGTCAGATAGTAGGCATCTAAACCCGGTCCCTCACTAGCTTTTCAACTGGTGAGGAGGGTGGCATGTCACCCCCACAGGATGAAAAAAAGCAAAACCTGTCGAAAGGGTGGATGAGCTTCTTAAGGAACAACAACACACACACACACACACACACAGGCTGTAACAGAAATACCTCCCACATAATAAGACATTAGCTAGATGAAGACACTATTGCCACTAATGTCTTACCATTATATGGGAGGCATTTCTATTGCAACCTCTGTGTGTGTGTGTGTGTGTGTGTGTGTGTGTGTAATATATATATATATATATATATATATATATATATATATATATATAGTTTAATTAAAACAACTGACAAAGTACTGTGGTTAAGTTTTACTTTCCTTTTTCACTGCTGGGTCATGTAATTTAATAATTGTGTATTTGGGCAACAATCTCTTTTATACAAATTTCATTAAAAATGACTCCCAAGGTTACAGATTTCCTGGTAAATGTAGTTAATAGGACTACCAGCTCTCACCATTTTATGCCTTGTGCCATACTTTGTAGGTTTTATGTGAGAAAAAAAAAATAAATTGCAAATTGGTTTATGTTGCCATCAGGCCAAATTCTTACCAACAAAAAAAATCTGCCAATTTTGGAAATTTTTATTGAACAATCTTTCCTTTTATTTTTGTCTCTTTCCAGCCGTCTCCTTACCAATTAATCTGGCTCTGCTTATAGGCATCCTGGTTCCGATCCTTTTTTCAGTAATGCTGATTATAGTAGTTATTAGTTATTTCCGATGGAAATACAAAAGACGAATGGATGACCTGTGTGTCCGTGAACGTCGCCTTTTAGATGATTGTGACAGCAAGTCAAGTAAAGAAGAAAAAAGTTCACTGAAGGTGACAAAAAAAACCATTTGTTTTTTCCCTTTTCATATTATTATTATTATTATTATTCAAACCTCTTTTATTTCTGCAGGACACGCAAGGATGATTGTTATGACACATTTGATTCATTCAGGACGTCACTGCATGTATAATTCCTCCCTTCAACTTCACTCTCTGTTTTTCACAGGCGGGATGTGGCGAGTCTTTCACGTCTTTATAACTACTTCCATTGAAAGTGCTCAGGCGAACTACATTCTTTGGTTCCATCAGGTCTAACCTTCACGGCTAGGACCCACTATGCTGCTTACATTGTAGTAAACCACCCCCATTCCCTCTGTATTCGATCGATGAGAAGTAAGTTGCACTCAAACAGCTACTTCTCGAACAGACTCCCAAGAGGATGTTTCCTCAATCACTACTATCTTAACCTGTTAGCAGTTATCTTCCCCTCCTATCCATATAAATTACCCTTTAATATAGCCCTTTACCTTGAGTTGCCCCTGGGACTTGTACAGGGTGAGCCTTACTGTAAAAAAAAAAAATAATCTTGCTGCATTGTTTTAAAAATTGATTAATAACTTTGGTTAAGAATATGTAAAAAAAAAAAAAAAAAAAAAAAATACCTCACTTCATAATTTGGACAGTAATGTTAGATTCAGCACATGATATCACAAATCTTTTCTCTAATATAAAATTCAATGTAACTTTATATTTATCATTCACACATCCTTATTTATCCTGTTTGAAATGAATTATTTCATTACGTTACCTGGAGACTAGCTGATGTCGACAAGGGAACAAATATGCCCTGTGTCCATAAGGTAAACCTGTAATGTTTCATTATTAAGAATGGCTTACAGACACATCACATTGAAGCGCCGATTCTTGTACAATCACCAAAGTTAAGCAACATTGAACTTAGTCAGTACCTAAATGAGGGACTGCTTGGGAATACCAGGTGGTGTAATGGACAATGGCTTAGAATTCTTAATCAGAGAACAGAATTTCAACTCCCATTGTGTTCATTATATTCACTTTTAATCAAAATTTTGAAGCTTCTAAAAAGGATTAAAAAATATAATTTTTACATCAAAAAAATCCTTTCATCTCTTCTATTAATAACAAAAAAAAATTTCCGTGATAAAACTTTGTTTTGATGAACTTTGGTCATTTTTTTTATTATGTATGCTTATTTTTAGCAAATCTTTGGAGGTATCTACTTACCTATATATATATATATATATATATATATATATATATATATATATATATTTCAAAAAATCTTTTACAGACTTTGGGGTCAGGTTCATCCCACCAAAAAAAGGACAAAAGTTCATATAAACAAATGTCTGCAAATCCTTCATTTTTACAGTAGATACTGTTAAATGTACAATCCCAGATACAATCCAAAAATACTTTTACAAACTTAGGGGGCTGGTTCCTGACACCAAAATAAGGCAAAATGCTGATATATCCAAAAGGCCATCCTTGTACCGCGACACAGCAACTCATAACAAATGTTCAAAATGTCCTCCGCTTGCTTCTACACACGCATGTACCCATCGGATCACTGATTGGCAAACACTTTCAAGTAGTCCAAGGTGTTGAATGGTTTCACAGGATCCCCTCATGACATGTTGATGAGGCATCCTTGCATTATTAATGTCTGCTTCATAAACCAATTATTTTAGATAAAAATTGAATGGGGAACATGTAGGCTATGGAACCTGTCCTCCCCTACCTATCCATCTTTTATGGTAGATGTTAGCCAGTGCATCACAATGTGACTAATATATATGCTGGAGCCTCACCATGCTTGAACCACATGCATCTTCGTATTAGCAGGGTTACATCCTCTAGCTGGTCTCAAAGTGTGTTTGAAATAAAATACCTATAAAACGTGCTGTGAGAACATATATATAACTTTGTTATTACATCTCTTCCAAATGTTGCCTCATCCCTAAACAAGACTGAAGTGACAAACAATGGATTGGCAGTTTGTGCAATAAACCATCGACAAAATTTCTTGTGTGGTGAGTGATCAGTGACCTGGCAACCATTATAAATGATACGGATACAGGAGCTGTTCTTGAAGTACCCTCCATGCGGTACTATGAGATGTTCAATATGCTAGGGCCACTTGACGTGTGCTGATACTTTTATCATCTCTGACAGCCTGTAGAATATGTTCTTTGTTGTCAGGCATATGAGCGGATCTCGGTTTTCCTTAATCCATAGTTTGTGGTGCTATGAATCCTGTGTCAGCTACATGACAATAAACAGCATCAAAGGTTGGATGACTTGGCTGCCTTCAGTCTGGTACCACAATCTGATATAGCCATGCACCACCATTTGCACGCCCATATGTAAAAAATATTATTTGCCTGCTCATGATATGAATATCCTGGCATTTTTAAACAGAACACTTCTGAGTTAACTCACTACTACACACATTAAAAATTGACGGCAGACTAGCCACACATGTATATGAATGGCAAATGTAACCTAGTCTAATGGCAACACAGTACCCTCTACTGTAAAATTTCTTTAAACTTAATTACTCAAAAACGAAGATTTGCAGACATATGTTTCTCACTTTTTACTTTTTTTTTTTGTCCTTGTTTTGGAGTGAGGAACCTGCCCCAGTTTGTAAAAGTATATTTGATATACCTTGTGTGTATGTATGTATATATATATATATATATATATATATATATAGGAAAAATTAACTGGTTCTAAATTTAAACTTTGTGATGTTTCTGCTGAAACTCTAGTGTGTTAGATTTCAAATTTGAAAGTTAGAATTAGCATTCTTTTGCTCAGAAATAGTATAAATATGGGATCTGATAATAAATTCACTTGATTAATCAAACATCTAATCCATTTTGATACAAAACTCAGCAGTCAGCTAACCATATAAGTCACTTTAACTTTTCTTGATTTATTGAATATTATAGCTCTAGTTAACCTACTGAGTCCTTTTTGGCAGAAGTTCCTGAAAAACCATGCAACACAATTTTCACAAATTTTCTCAGTTGTATTATTATTATTATTATTATTAATGTCTATTTTCTGTAAAATTTGATAAACTTTGAAATAAATACAAGCTTTGACTGAAATGAAATATTTTCTCAACATCTTAAGGTTTATTGGAAGATTTTATTTGCAATGTTAAAAATGTTTGTAAATTTTGAATACATTTCTTTCTTATTTTTAATTTTAGGAATTATATGATCAGTCTGTTACATCTGGAAGTGGCTCAGGGTTGCCATTTCTTGTTCAAAGCACTGTGGCTCGACAGGTTATGATGGTGGAAATGATAGGTAAGTGCTGACATGCTTTGTAAGCTGCCGTATGAATGGCATAGGAGATTATTTGCTGGATAATTCCTACCTTCACAGCCTATGAAAAGTTTTGGACTTTTTTTTTTCTCTCTCTCTCTTGTTATTTGATAAAGCATTGTTAATTGTTACTAACTAGCAGCTACCTGTGGATGTGTGCATAGTGTAGTGATCATTGATGCTGAAAGTGAGGTCAGTGTGCCGAGTTCAAATTCAGACAAGTTCATTGCGTTCATTTTTGCATAAACACCTCCATTTAAAATTCTGATTAGTTTCATTTTGATATCTACAATTTGTAGTTCGTAACTTGGGTATTTCTCTCTAAATTATGTTGTCCTGGTGAATGGTGATAAACAGCATCCGGCAACAAGGCCTCTGAGCAGAAGGTTTTGAGGAGTGTGAAACCTCTTAATTGCTGCTGTTCCCAGGTCCACCCTGACCTGGGTTGGTATTGCCTGTTAGGGACCCAGCTATGGGCAAATAGTTAACCCCCAAGCAAACTGGGATCAAGGTACTATGAAAGTATCAAGATAAATTTTCATAGTAAAAATACCATCAATACATTTTCATAGTAAAAGGAAAATTACCAGCAATACGTTTTTGTAATAAATATATAATGGATTCTCCTGTCGGTTTTGACGTATGAGGATCTTACAGCTTATTGATTCAGTTATGAAAGTTTGTGCGATAATCTTAAGTGGCATTTAAGACCTGCTAGTGATTTACAAAGGAGGCCACATATGGAGCAAGTGTGAGGATTGTGAGATGAGATCACTGTTAGATTGGCTGACCTTTTAGATCTTGCTCTTGCTTCTTGAAGATGATTCAGACAAGCAGATTGAAAATTGCTGAGTCCACTAAAACATGTTGATCTCCATTCTACCTGCTCCAAGGCTAATCGCTCAAGGGTGTTATGTGGTATATTGACTGCTGACAAGTTGCTTTTCAGCTTGTCTTTGTATCTTAGCCATGGCCGTCCTACATTCCTGTAGCCCTGATCTAACTGACTGTACATTAGGATCTTGGGTATCCTGTCATCAGAAATTCTCAAGACATGACCAGTCCACCGTAACTGAGACTGTATGATAAAAGTCTCCATTCCTCCAATATTTCACCTGTTAAACAAGTCTACATTGAAGCTTATATATATATATATATATATATATATATATATATATATATATATATATAATTACCAGCAAATTCTGTTTAAAAAAATATATATATTACCGGCAAATTCTGTAAGAAAAATTCAAAAAAATAAAAAAAAATGCAAGGGGTAAAAGAGTGTGAGAAAGACATTACTAAGGAGATAGGACAATAAAAGAACAGGATTCAAGAGACAAGATAGTGATTGATATTGCATTTAAATTTTTGAAAAATGTTGTTGATTGGTAAGCAAGAAACAAGAGAATTCCACAAGTGAAAAGTGTAAGTGAAGAAACTGTTAGCATGAAACCTAGGGTTACATTTAGTTATTTCAACGGTAAAATGGTGAGACCTAGATGCCAATCTAGTACTGCAAATACTTGTAAAGTCAAGGTACCAAAGAGGAAAGCTCTTCAAAGCAATCACCATAAAAATATTTATTGAAAAGGAACAGAAAAGCTATGTCACGGTGATAAGAAAGTGACTGAAGCAGAGATAACAGGACAGGACTGAAAACGTCGCAGCTTCTTTGGATTTTATCAGGAATCTCTAAATATATGGCAGAAGCACCAGACCTGATGTGACAGCAATATTCAATGCATAGACAAATGGTAGGCTTATAGATAGATTCTTGTGAGAAAAATTGTCCAGCACTGACACAGTAAACTAACATTCCTAGCAGCAGGCTTAGCAGTTGATTCAACATAATCGTTCCACTTAATGTCAATGGAAAACATTAGCTGAAGAAGGTGCAATGGATCATCCTCCTGGAGGTTAGCATCAGCCACTCTATTGAAAGGCATAATCAGTTTTTTTAAGATAATTAAGAGAGCTATTTACATGCATGAAGATGAACTAGTATTTTTTGTTAAATTTAAACATTACTCCCCACCATATTTTTATGCTTAAATAATAGTTGTGTGTTTATACAGCGTATATTATCTGAAACAAAAGTGAAGATGATTAAACGTGGAAAATTTTACTAACAACACATTTAGCCAGAGAGGGTATGCTCTCTTTGGCTTTCTCAAGTTAAAATGAAAGAAAGATAAAACTGTGAGGAAAATGTCTTTGGATCTCTGCAAATAAGTGTGCATCATAAATGAAATTAATTACCCTAGGTTATTACCTCCTGATGTCTAGACATAGTGTATGCCTTGCTATCTATGTCATTTGTTATTGTAGGATTTTAAATTAGGGATATTATACATGCACATGTACACATACACATCCACTCAGGCACATACATATATTAGAGACTTTTTTCTTTTTTTTTTTTTTTTTTTCAATACTCATACATACATGTACATATATACATGCATATCAGTATATACCAGTACATACATATTTACATATCATGTATCCATTCTTTTTGTATATCTGTTCATGCATACAACTGTTTCTTATATACATAGATGTTTAACAGTACATATACATATATATATATGTGTGTGCCCCCTCGTATATACCCATGCGAATATATATACATACATACACTTGAGAAAATAAAAGAAATGAAAAAAACTATGGTGCCTTCCTTAATGAATTTAATATCAACATTAAGAAGTTGATCTGAGAATTCAAGAGGATTGAAATAAAAATAGAGATGATATGTCCAAATTATTCAATTAACATGCTTGAACACACACACATATACACATACATAGACTTTTTTTTTTTTTTTTTGTGTTTACTATTTTTCCTGATATGAAATGAGAGTAAAGTTATTCTGTTGACCCATTTTTTTTCTGATAAACACAGACAATATTTTTTGCATCAGTTTTTTACTTTGTATTTTCTTTTTTGCTCCAGGGAAAGGTCGTTATGGAGAAGTCTGGAAAGGAATGTACCATGGGGAATGCATTGCTGTAAAAACTTTCTCTTCAAGGGACGAAGCTAGCTGGGACCGTGAGACAGAAATTTACAACACTGTTCTTTTACGTCATGACAACATTCTTGGATACTTGGCTTCTGATATGACCAGTCGCAACTCATGCACACAACTCTGGCTCATTATGCATTTCCATGTCAATGGTTCTCTCTATGATTATTTGCAGCATGTTGTGCTTGACCACCAGTCCATGCTTTTGCTTGCATACTCGGCTGCAGCTGGCATCGTCCATCTCCATACTGAAATCCTTGGCAAGCAAGGAAAGCCAGCCATTGCACACCGAGACATTAAATCTAAGAATATTCTAGTGAAAAAAGATGGGTCTTGTTGCATTGGAGATTTGGGTCTGGCTGTTATTCATAGTCGTGAAAATAATTATCTCGATCTTGGTAACAATCCAAAAGTTGGTACAAAGCGTTACATGGCCCCAGAAATCCTTGAGGAGACTCTTAACCCAAATCTCTTTGAGTCTTTCAAATGTGTAGATGTCTATGCATTTGGACTGGTACTTTGGGAAATCACACGGCGCTGTGTTGTTAATGGTAATATTTTATTTTATTTTTCTTCTCTTCTGTTATTCTACTTTTTACTTCTTTTTCTTTGTTTTTTTATTTAACTTTCGTTTTCTCTTTCTTTTCCTTTTTCTTTTCTATTTTTTCACTTTCCTTTTTCTTTTCTATTTTTTCACTTTCCTTTCTCTTTTTCACTTTCCTTTCTCTTTTTCACATTCCTTTCTCTTTTTCCCATTCCTTTCTCTTTTTCCCATTCCTTTCTCTTTTTCCCATTCCTTTCTCTTTTCTCTTCTCGCTTTTCTTTTACTTTTCGCTTTTCTTTTACTTTTCGCTTTTCTTTTTCATTTTCCATTCCTTTTTCTTTTCTTTTTCTCTTCTTTTTACTTTTTCATTTTCTTTCCTTTTCCTTTGTATTTTTGCTCTTCCTTTTTCTTTTCTTTTTTACTTTCTCTTTTATTTAGTTTGTTCGTTTTCTTCTCTTTCCTTTTTCTTTTTGTTAAATATTTTATTTTACTTATACAGCATGTTTATTATTCTTTAAAATAAAATTCTCTTCGGTGACACAATTGTTTTGTTTGAGTTAATAAAACTTAATAAAAATTCCCAGCAGAAAATGTATTTGAACCGCCATGCTTATTTTAAAGACAAAAATTTCCCACTGATACAACTCTTTCAGATAACACCTTTATTTGCTACAAAAACTATCTGTAGTCAGTTGATTATCAAAATAAATTTGCTTTATTCAATTTTTTTTTCTTAAGTTTAACTTTAATTTTTCAGCTCAAATTTGATTTTTAAGTTGTTTCATTTCTGTTTCAGGAATCTCTGAAGAGTATAAGCCTCCATTTTGGGATGTGGTACCAAGTGACCCTAGTTTTGAGGATATGAGGAAAGTAGTCTGCACTGACCAACAACGTCCAGTCATCCCTAATCGTTGGTCCACTGATCCAGTTAGTAAAAAATTTTTAACTTCATGTCAGAATTTCTTTTTTTTTTATTTTTCCCATTTTCAGGATTATTTCCAGATTCATTGTTTATTAAATTTTCAGTGGCAGAGGGCCAACAGCTACATGAACCACACGATAATGTGCAGTGATACATGACCCATTAAAATGTTAGCTTATTTGAAAATCATCCTCCTCATCATCATCATCCCCTTGACTTTTGTAATCGTAAGGGGATCCAATTGCAAAAGCCACACTGAATCTCCTCCACAATGGTAACCATCAACAATTCTGGTAAAGTCATACCTGTCCATTGTTTGACATTGTCCAACCAGTTTTTGCATTGGCGTCCTCTCCTACATCCACCTTCAAAGGTGCCTTGCATGATGGTCTTGCACAGGCTGTCATGTCTTGTAATGTGTCCAAAGCATGCCATTTGACAAGAAGAGATTCCTGTTGACCCTCAAAACTTTCTACCCTTTTCCACACAAACTCATTGGTTTTATGTTCCCAATAGAAAATGCAAAGGAGTTTTCTCATGCATTTGAAAATCATGTCATTGCTAATAATTGAGTATCATATACAGTTGAGTATAGCATGAGTTGTTGTTGTACTCCTAATTATCTGATACATATCTGTGCTGTATATATTTCAATTGTCTTCCTTATTCAGTTTTCCTCAGTTTATTTATTTTTATTTACTGGTATTATTTTATCTTATATTTCTCCATTAAATTTGGAGGTAGCTTTATACAAAAAAGAACAAAGACCCTTTATTTGCATTAAAATATGTCTGGGATGATGCCCAATACTGCAATATTTGAGTATGGTAGACCTACAAGTATTGGTGTAAATATGTCAACAGAAGAGATGACACTGTTAAAAAATTGTCAACAATTAAAGCAGAAATATAACAATCGCATAAAAGAGTGAAACAGCATTGCTATCATTTGGAGGTTGTGGGCGGGGATTTAAAAGGATAAGTGGGAACCGCTTGCTTTGCTTTGATCCTGTAATTTATTGCATTGGTTCCAGTAATTATTACAGGTTAATCAGGAAGTGGTAATAAACGGTGACTAATCTAAGAGGTACCTTACTTTAAAAGTCAAGGAACAAGGGGGAAAATAAAATAGTTGAGGTGCTGTACTGTGGTAACAGAACATTGTTTTAAATACTTCTTAAATATTTTACATTTTGCAGAATAAGAAAAGTAAATAATGTCAATCTTGCTTAAATGACGCACATAATACTAACCTACCAACTCAGTATTGACTGCAACCAAAAAGAATTTCTCTAAACTTAATATAAAATTTGTTTCAACTACTTCTAAAACAATAACAGATTTACTTACTAGAAAACAAAATAATCACAACCTAAAAGATGAATCAGGAATTTACAGAACAGCCAGCAAAACATATCACAAGAAATACAAGATGAAATACATGATGAAACATCAATGGGTCTAAATAAAAAAAAATATGAATGATATAAGTAAGTTTACTAAAACTAGATACATTATACTAACTACCCATTCTCACATGTTACAACTGAAAAGAATTTATCTAAACTTAATATAAAATTTGTTACAACCACTTCATAAACAATAAGAAATTTAAATCAAAACCACCTAAAACCAGAAACAGGAATTAATGGAATTTTCACTATAAATATATAGAAAGTGCACTGATTTCCAAGTCTTCCACAGTAAATCTATGACCAGGATCATTCAACACATCTCCTTTGCTAACAAAACTACTCCTATCACAATGTGTGATATTTAAAAATGATAGTGATACAAAGAAAACAAAAAATGTTGGGATGGGTAGAGAGCTGAGAAAGAATTGACAGGAGGAGCTGATCTGTTAGTCAAAGATGTTGTAAATGACAGAAGTTTTCATCAAGTATCACCTATCTACCTACTCCAACTGAGCAAGAATCCCTGAATAAATACTTGGAAACAGGTTTCATGTCTTCAGTGTAGCATTTGTGTTTATCTTTTATTTCCTTGTGAGCTTGTAGTGAACCTTTCCCAGTTTGTTTTTGGTGCACACCAATGAATGCATTTGCTAGTCAGTGGAAAGCAGAAAATGGCCTGCGTTCATAGAATGACAAAAGGCATAATACAAGAGGGTTTTTTTTTTCTGTTTTTTGTTATTCAAATACCCACATTGACAAAAACCTTGAAAGTAATAAAAGCAGAAATCAACAAAAGAAACTAGGTGTCGGCTACTGGAGAAAAAGAAAAAGGCAACGATAAAAACCATTGATGAACCTGTCTCAGTTTAATACTAATGCTAAGTAATATAGAAATTTCTAATAAGAAAATGAGCCTTTAGAATAAAGCTGGAAACACCACACACACACACACACACACACACACACCTTCACTGTGACTTCAAGCTTCACACTATGTACCAACCTTCAAACTTTCATTAATATCCTTTTCAGATGTTTGGTTTTAAAGTGCTCCAACTTCTGTGACATTTACTTTTTGACATTTACCAAAGTGGTTCCTTCTTTTAGATTTTAATTTGTGGCTAAGTCATGAATTATTATTTTTTTTATTTATTTATTCATTTTTTATTTATTTTTATTTTTTTTTTTTTATTTATTTTTATTTTTTTTTATTTTTTTTTTTCAGGTTTTGAACCAGATGAGTAAACTCATGAAAGAATGTTGGCGAGCTGAGAGTAAAGCTCGTCTCTCAATGCTCCGTGTTAAGAAGACTCTTCATCGCATTAATAACAAATCCGAAGATGACTGAACAAGTGAGAGTGAATGTATGAACAATGTCATCATAATAGTTAGACTGTGTTTTCATTAACTGGTTTCTACATTAGGGCCTGAACTCTTTTTCCAACGAGGACTACTGCCACTCCAATTATAACTGCTACCAGATAGCGTTGATGGTTCTGTGGAATAATTTGGCAGGGTTCAGTGTTTTAAATAAGACAAGTTTTTTTTTTGTTTTTTTTTCTAAGAGGAGAAAAATAAAAAAAATTTTTTTTTTCTTCCTCTCTACCATCCATGGATATTTAATCTCATGAAAAGTTCTTTTTTGTTTTTTCTTTTTTTCATAAATTACATTAAGTTAATTTTTATGCTATGACTTAACATGTTTATTATGAGATCTTCCATCAGGCAAAGGCCTTGTTAGACATTTTAACAAAAGGAAAAAAAAAATCATTTTTAAGGTTTTTAATTTTCAATCAACGCACTACCTTGATTTTTCAGCAAGAAAAAAATACAAGAGAAAAAATATTAAAGAGAAACAAAAAAGAAATAACATTAACAAAAACTTTTGGCATTCAGCAAATGTCCAGTCCATTAAGTAATGCCTCAAGAAATACTTAAAAAAAACAAAAAAAACAAACTGTTAAACAATATATGTAAATATACGTATGTGTAAGTATGTGTGCACAACAATATGCATGCACATACATTTGTGTATACTCGCATACCTCCTTGCTGGCACTTATATAACTTTGTATAATTAGTTTTCATGTCGAAAAAAAAATCCGTGTGTATCTTTTTTGTACTATAACCAAATTTTTTATTCAACTTTTGTATGTGTGTGTGTGTTATATATAATTTTCAAAAAGGTTTTGTTAAATAATATAGACATGTTCTGTCCATTCATTTTTTTATTAAGTTTTTCAAATTTCTGAATAAGTTGTTTTATATAATCAGTCAACTTTCTCCCCTTACTACTACTACTACTACTACTACTACTACTACTACTACCGACACATTGGAGAAATGTTGTTACATTCGTTTTCTCTTTTTTTTTTTCCGTTCTATTCATGTAACTGTTTTTGACTAATTCTTGTGTTTCCTTGTTTGTTAGAACCAATTTAAAATGATTCAAGGTGACATTTAAACAGTCAAACTGAAATTTTATGTTTTTTTTTATATATATACAGACATTCACTTTTATAATTAAGGAGATTTTAATTTTTACTAGTGTGTGTGTACACACACACACACATATATATATATATATATATATATATATAAAAGGGACGAGGTTATAGTTATTCCAATGAGAGAAAAGAGTGTATATTAAAAAGAAAGAAAGAAAACAAAAAAAGGTTTTGGTTATAATGTGGATTTTTTTAAAAATATATATATTTTGCTTTATTTCCCATAATTTTGCAACACATTTCAGGTCTTGTGACCTTCTTAAAGTAAAGAGTTGATATTTCCACATATTATTAAAACGAATTAATTTTCCTTATGTTTTTTGATGTTAAACATTCTCTTTTTTTGTGTGGTAGTGACACAAATATATTATATATATATCCACACACACACACACACACACTTGGAAGATTGGATAGACAGAACTTGTCGATAGTATTCAACAAATATTTTAAAGAATTCTTGCTTATAAACACACACACACACACATATATATATATATATATATATATATATATATATATATATATATCCATCTAATAGTGGGTAAAATATGAGAAAATGAAAAAATTTAGTGGGTCATTTTATATTGAAAATACTAATTTTATCAAGAAATCAGTTTATATATATATATATATATATATATATATATATATATATATATATATATATGTGTATGTGCATGTATGTGTGGAGTGGACGAAGAATGTAAAAATGTCAGTTTCAGTTTACAGTGAAAACAAAGATATGGAGATGGTCGGCCTTGAAATTTATCTTCAGTGTTATTTAAGGTAAACTATAAACAACATTTGTATGTATCATCAATTTCCTTATTATGTGTGGGTGGTGTAATTGATAGTGAGCCAATTTCAAATTCCAGTCATGTTTGTTACATTCACTTGTTTTTAAATGCCCTTGGGAAAGGTCTGAATCCATTACTTCATCCCCCTTAGATATGGGTTAAATAATAGAACTTGTATCTGGATAAATCATTGTTGCTCTCAAAAAATTGTTAATGAAATATAAACTCACAAAGAAAATGAACTTTTCTTACAGTCCAAAATATGCTTTAGGTTTAACTAATGTAGGTTTGACAAGCTGTAAAAAAAAAAAAAGCAAATCAATCATTTCCTCCCTAAATATATATATATATATATATATATGAGTCATCAATAAAAACTATTATTAATCAGAAGTTCCTTCTCAGAATGAAACGCATAACTAACTGTCCATTTTGTCATTTGCATACCCATTTTATATTGACACACGTGTGTCGAGAACAAGACACACGCACACAGAAAAAAACGATTCATTGATAGTCATTATAAGTTGGAATAAGTTCCTTCTCAGAATGAAATGAGTCACTAAAATATTTCATTTCATCACTCCTTTACCCACTAGTAGTTGGCTGTATGTATATATACACACACACAAATAAAAGCTCTACATTATATTGTGCACTTTTAACTGCCTACCTCATAAAAAGTTGGATTTTGCTAGGCACGTGTTTATTTATTTATATATATATATATATATATATATATATATATAATCTCATTTTAAGGCCTGCTCTATTTATAGGGTAAAAGTGCTCAATATTAGGGATAGAGCATGTGTAAATATAAAAAGTGTTTTCACTGCTGTCAACAGTCAGTTGTGACAGTCTGTTTCATGCTCAAGTGTAATCTTCAGGACTGAAGCTTGCATGAAATGGACAACCATGACTCATTGTTGACATGAGTGTCCATTCTTATATTTATTTACACACACACACACACACACACACACACACACACACACACACAATTGTCAATGTTTGAATGGTACCATATTGTGTAGTATTTACTTGTATATAATTTTTTCTATTTCTACGCATTTGAAAAATTGTCATAATACAGGCCACAATTCAAGTGAATAGCAGAAATTAAATTTTAAGCTTGTATTTTCTTCAGCTTGCTTACAAGTATAGTCAAATGTTCATTTTCTTTTTCATATGCACTTGTAAATGCTTCTTGAACATTAAGCATGATCACTTCCATCTGGCTATTATGATTTCAGCTGTTTTTAAACATGTTGCAGTAAGCTTTTGAAAAATGTCAAAAACAAATTCTTGCTGTTGATTTGTATTTTTTTAAAAAATTACTTAAAAAAAAGAAAAAAGTGGCCTTTTCACATGATGGTAACATTGAAACATTGGCTGAAAGAAAATAAAGATATTTTGATATGCTATATAAATTTTTTTTTTTTTTTTGCTATGGTTAGGCTTGTTGGCTGTCTGTCATGTTCATTTGTTTTTTCTTGTTTCAATGTATTTGCCTAACCTCCATTTTATTTCTTGTCATTAATTTCATAATACATTAAGCCTTTTCATAGATGATGTTATACCAGCAAATATAAAAAACAAGCCATCCTTAGGATTGAATATCCCTCCATTTTCATTTTTTTCCTTCTCTCTCTCTCTTTCTTCCTCTCTCTTTCTTCCTCTCTCTCTTTCTTCCTCTCTCTCTCTCTTTCTTCCTCTCTCTCTCTTTCTTCCTCTCTCTCTCTCTTTCTTCCTCTCTCTCTCTTTCTTTCTTTTTCTTTTTTTATTTTTATTTTTATTTTCATTTTCATCAGCTTACTTTTGGAAACAGGTTAGTATTTGCTAAATAGCCTCAGACCAATCTAAAAGATTTTTAAGAAAAAAAAATGAATTGTAAATTTAAAAGTGAGTGGATGAAGGGAGAGAAATGCATTTTCATTTGATGCATCTCAGTTATTATGTTTTATGTCTTGTCTGCACTTTTGTAATCCAAAATAACATTATTATTATTATTCACTGCATTCAGTCTTTGAGTGAAATCAGAATTAATGGTGTTTCTTAAAACTAGATAATTACAGATCTTCCCCCAGATAATAGGGCGGAGTCTACTCCCCTATAATTGTGGGCTTAACCCATCATTAGTACTGTGGTATATTGTCACAGCATTAGCTCTGTAGTGTTTTAAAACACCCCACTTAAAATATTGAAATATTATTTAGTTCCTAATTTTCTTGTTACATATTGCCTTGAGCTTTCTTTCTGGTTTTTATAGGATAAATAAAAATAAAGAACAAGGAAAAATGTTTGAAAAATTAAATTAAAATGCTAATATTAAAAAAATAAATTTGTAAGGTTCAAAAGTTAAAATATGCCAAAATAGGTTTAATTTTATTTTCATTAAACAAGTCAAACTACTGGTAATTTACACAACTATTATGACTAAAACCAAAACCTCCTTGGCTTAGCATTATATCACATCGAAAAACCAGTTCCTGTACAATCACTGAAGTTAAGCAATGTTGAGCCTGGTCACTATCTAAATGGTGACCACTTGGAAATACCAGGTGCGGTAAGCTTGAATGTGCAACTGGTATGGATAATGGCTCAGAATTGTTAATTGGAGAGCCACATTCCAATTCTTGTTAAGTTCTTTATATCCACTTGCATGAAAATACCCTTGGGAAAGGTATGAATCCACCTCTTCTCCCCCTAGCTATGGGTTAATTAGTAAGACTTGTATCACTAAACTATTATCTCCCCACCCCAAATTCTTACAATTTAATGAGGGGTGAGTTTATATATTGACTGTAATATAGAATTGATCCCCCACTTTATATCAGCAATCTCTTGTTTGCTTTTCAAATTCTTATTCGGTAGGAATCCACTCCTTCTCCCCACCCAAGCCATGAGACTTGTATCACTAAAAACATTATTATCTCCAAAAAAAGAAATTCTTACAATCTGAAAATGTTTTCTAGCTTTAACACTGCAAAGGGATGATAAACCATGAAAAACAAATCAGTCAATCAGAAAGTCCTTGTAGTTACTTGAGAGAGATATTCAGAAATCTACTTGACTAATCATGAAAATTTAACTTGCCACTTGCTAAATATTAAGAACATTTTGTAGGGTGTTCAGACATACCATGGTATTAATGCTGGGTTAAGTTTCTGATTATTATCCTTAAGAAGATCATATCTTTATATATGTGACTGTTATTACCTTTGAATTGCTGTAGGATGAGAGTTCAGGTCAATCCCCTACGGGCCCAGATAAAATCTTGTCATACAGAGTCCATAAAAACTGCTCATCTGATTTCTGTACAAGACATTTACATCAAATCCCTACAGCTATTTTTTGTGTTCTGCATATGTTCATTAGAAATCTTGTAAAACCAGTTCACAAATGTTTCTTGGTTCCAAATGTTGTCATTTCATTAGGAATTTTTTTATGAATTCAGAATTCATTACAAAAAGAAAACCTATGGCAGTTACCACCTGGTTTTCTTTATATTTTACAGAATCTTTTATGCTGACTATATAGGTTAAACTAGTCCCAGGGTGGAAATGAGAATAAGTCCATATGTGCTAGCTACTATTTGTAAAGGGGTAATGAGATAAATTGCATTAGTGCATCAATACATCTGAGTCCGCAATAGCTGAACATTGAAAGTATTTCACTTAAAAGCATTCAAGACAAGAGACAATGCATATTTGTTTTCACAGCCCTCCCTCTGTAAACAGAAGGGGTGGTTTTTAGGTCAAGATGTAATTTGCTTTGTGTGTGTGTGTGTGTGTGTGTGTGTATATATATAATATTTTTATTACTACAAATGTTATTTTTAGAGGGTACTCATATTTGAGTAGACACCCTTTTTATTTTAAAACATATATTTCGTCTATCAGACTGTGTACTCCAAAAAAAAAAAAAAAAACTTTAAAAAAATGTGCCCTTTACAAAAAATACCATTTTTGAAGTAATAGAAATATGTCAAATTAAAAAATAAAATCCATTAATTCTTAAGAAAATATTATTTTATATATATATATATATATAGTCAAGGTAACAAATCTGTTAGTATATAATCCAAGTGGATCCTAGTTATATAAAATATTAAAACTGATTCACAAAAAGAGCTCAATGTATTTATTATTACAGAGCAAATAATTAATAAAATCACCTCATATGGGGAATAGCCTATTTTGGCAGACGAAAATATTGTTCGTCTGCCTTATCAACCCTGGTGTGGACTGAGTTTGTGTCAAAAATAGAAATTTAACTGTGAAAGCTAAAAAACAAAAAAAAAAATAACAACAGTCGAAAAACTAATACAGAATTTATCCATTTCAATGTTTCAGTCAGACGAAAGGCATGAGACAGGTGTCAAAGGAGGGTGGAAGGTATTTGTCTTAAATGGAAGAAAATTCATAAAATTAAATCTGAATATTAACCTTATGACATTAATTTGGGGTTTTTTACACACACACACACACACACACACACACACATGATGGTTTTGTTGAAAACAACTGACAAAGTGCTGTGATTAAGTTTTTTATATAATTTCTTGTGTTTGTATAATTTTTTTTTCTTTTCAGGGCATAAATTATATAAAAATTGTCCAAATGTTTTCCAAGCACTTTCGGCTATACTTTTAGCCATTATCAAGGATGAATTTTACTTTAAAAGTAAAATAAAATTCATCCTTCATAATGGCTAAAAGTATAGCTGAAAGCACTTGGGAAACATTCAGACAATTTTTTTGCATACTTTATGTCCTGAAAAGAGAACAGTTATACAAACACATATTAAGAGAAATTATATAAAAACCCCATAACCTTATCAGTTGTTTTCTACAAAACTTGCATAAAAGAGGGCCCAAACACACACACAGTAATCTGTAGAGCATGGGTGTTTTCAGGTGACGTTTAAGGAGTTTAAACTAGGAATTATCTTAATTTATTGGTTCCATTTTTAATTTTTGGGTCTCTTTTGTGGCGTAGTTTTTCTTCTTTTTTTTTTTTTTCATCTCAAAAACAATAGAACACAAGATCATAAAAGAGATGGAAAAATTTAATAATGGAACCAATAAATTATTAAAAAATGTAGACAGTTCCTGGTTAGGACTTGTTGAACCTGGATTGGCTCATGTCACATGTGAGACAAAAGAAATAAGATAAAGGAAATTAAAGAGAACAAGACCAACTAAATTTTATAGTAAACAAAAAGAAGTTTCATTATAATTTTAATGATTTGATCTGTGACTAAAAAGGGAAAAACAAAATCACTTATCAGTAAGAAGTTAGAAATAGTTCATAATAATTCAGTCAGAAATTGCTAGGTTTTGACATGTGTTATACTCTTTACATGTCACGTGAAACAATCAGCTCTGAACCAGATTTCTATAACTGACTTCTCAAGCCAACTTTTTTCATTTTGGCACCAATAAATACAACTACCTGGATAAAGACATTCACTTTGTAAGGTCATAACGCCAAACCGATCTAAATGCCCCAGAACTTGGAGAAGTTTCATAAAAATAGATTCTCTTGACACTAGCTACCCTAGCCGATAAGTATACTTGCAAAACAAGAGTAGCCAGTTCACACACACACACACACACACACACACACATGATATGATGTGTGTGTGTTTGTTTTATTTATTTTTTGTTTATTTTATATACATTTGAAAATGTGGGCTCTTAAATTGTACTTGTTTTTGTTTAGAGATAATTTTTGCTGTATGAGTATTGCTTTGAGGGTCATAAGTCTGTTTTTACTATTTGATTTTGCTGGTATTTTAGTATTGTTTGTGAGTAGCTGTCTAATGTTACTATGATCCTTATGCTGCTTATTAATTTGTTGTCTGATAGTGCTATGGTCCAATATATGGTAGGTTAGTCTTTATGAGAATGTGGTTGTGGTGTATCCTATGTAAGACAATTTTGTTTTTTATTTACAAAAGCATTCTCCAAGTGGGCAAGTATACTCATATGCAACATTGATCTTGTATAGGGGTTGGAAGTTTTCAATATATATATATATATATATATATATATATATATATATATATAATTGACCTCAGTCAAGATCATAGTCCACTACCACGTGACTGTCAATTGTGAGTCTCCGTGATCTTTTCAATGGCTATATGAAATGTGTTTCATCAGTGTTACATATGAAGTGTTTTTTGGGGTTTTTTTTTTGGGTTTTCTTATTGTCCTTCTTGACTAATAGCCAACCATAGCTAAAAGAGCCCCATCTGCTTTTGTATTTAATGCATAGCTGAAGAGAAGATATGGATTTGGATTCATAATTTTTCCAAGACTTTGTGCAAAAGTGAATTTAACAAACCCAGCTAGGGTTTGAACTCAACTTGTTGTGTTCTCTTTCTTGAGCTGCTATTACACTACTTGCACACCCTCTATGTAATGACAACATTTGGAATGTTTTGTGTATCTGTCCATAAAAGTAATGCAGATTTTTGAAATCACAAGATCATTTTTTTTCTTTTTCATTGCACTGAAGAGGTAACATGTAAAGAATTTACTAATTCTTGAAGAGTACCATTCTGTAAGCTGCCTCTTTGAAGACAGGAGTTTGTTCTGTGGCTTCATCTCATTTTCTCTTCTAAATGGTACACACACACACACACACACACACACACACACACACAAAAAAAAAAAAAAGTAAACTTAGGTATTCTTACCATCACTTTCTTGTTAAATAAAACAAATGAAAATCAGTATATTTTATTAATAAAAAGTGTATGTAAAGTTAAAAAAACGAATGTTAAAAAAAAAAAAAAAATCATATTTTCATTTGCTTATATTAGTTGGATGTT